AAAATCATTTTTCATTTAAAAGATAATAAGTGTATATTATAACAAGCTAGACTTTTTATCCTTATCATTCCTTATTGAACTTCATGCAACTTTTCTTACTGGAATTCATTTCTTAATAATTTTTTCAGAGAAGATCTGGGTCATTTAAATAGCTCTGTCATTTTCCTCTCAATTTAAATATATATTTTCAGTTTAAAAAAATCACAAATCTTCTCATATTAATTGTTACCTTCTATATATCTAACCGGACTTTTTTAAACCTATTGAAGTAAAATGATATTCAAAATATTATTTGGCAAAGTTCTTAATAACTTTTATATTTGTTAAAGGGAATCGCATATAATTTTATTGAAGTTGTTGATAGGAATGCAGAATATACTTTGAACAAAGACATCACCTTATAGTATTTCTCTGGAAATCTACACCCAGTTTTTAAATGTGTATTCATTAATACTGTGGCGAAATTTGGTCTATACTATAATCATTTGCTTAAATTTGGCCAACTATTTTCTCCAGTTGCCATAAAGCTGTAATACAATTTTACATAGAAAAAGTAAGTTATTCAATGTCTACAGAGTTTCTCTTGCTCTTTAGTCTAAACATTCTATAAAAAAGATGAGTTTAGATTGGAGTGATGATGATCCTGTGACCTCATAATGATTACTAATGGCTTTCTTCCCAGTACTTCTTTATAAAAAGTTCCAAAATTATTCTAAGAGCATTTTCAAATCCATCTGCTGATATGCAGCATAATCTTTAACTTCTACCCTTTGAAAATTAGAATTAATTCTTTCATGATTTCCTTTTTCTACATTATTTCAAAATGATTACTATAATTAGTTTCCTAGTAATATCTGTAACTTTTAGTGTTACAGGAAGAATCTGATAAATATATAAATCTGAATTAATTTAAATACATTAATTTTCCTGTTTCTTCATTTAAGATGAACTTTAGTTTCTGTTAATAATGTAGGATCTAGGGTGCAGAAGCTAGATTATTCTGTTTCGTGAGAAAAAAAAGCAGGGAAGAGTATTGGTAATCTTTCATTGTTCATTTTTACCAAGATTTTATTTTTCATTATAATAATCTCATAGAATAGCAAAGAAAGAAATAATAACTATATATATATACACACACACACACACACACACACACATATCTATATACATATACACACACATATCAGCTAAGGTAAAGAAGCTGATCAAATTGGTTCAGATAATGTAAAAATTAAAATAGAGCACATACTCAAATCCAGGTCATGTGTACTTATTACAATATTGTTGGAGAAAATATTTATTAGTAACATTGGCTATTATTACAATTATTATGAATTACTGGTTGTAAAGGTTGAAGATACTTCATATTCTGCTAGGCTAAGCAAATTCTTTTCAACCATTTACGTTGTACCTGCTGCAAGAGATGGAATCACCTTTTTCTTTTTTTATTCTTTTCAATATAGTTATAAAGCTATAGTTTTCTCTTTTTAAGTTACACTTTGGTCATTATCAGTTTCTTTGCAAGCATCAGCTCTTTCTAGTCTTTAATTTGATATAATTCATTAGTCTTCCTGACACATCTTATGAATTTGTGCTACTCTTTGAAGTTGCCCTTGATTAACCTTCTCTTCCAACTCTTTTGACTTATTCTTCTAAAATCTGAGCTCTGTAGTAATATGGGCATTCGCCCTCACTGGTGAATTGACATTTTTTCTTATTTTCTTTATTAGAGTAATTTATGATTATAAAATCTGAGTTTGTAACTCCTCTAATTTTCTTCTATCATGTTGCTTTTTGATATATATTAAGGATGTAATTGAACTAAAGAATAAAGACATGTATTTTTATGGCAAATTTTCTCTTGATTGTTTTATTTCATTTGAATAAAGGTTAAAAAGAAAAATGCATCACAAAGAAAAAAATAAAGTCCTAAATACAATTAACAAATATGAATATACTGTAAATCTCTTGTGAAGTTCTATTTGTACCATAAATACATGTTTATACTTATATTTTGGTTTTTTATGTTTGGGACAATAGAACTTGGCATTAAATGTGTAATTTTCTCCAGAGCAGTAAAAAACTACATATATGTTATTCACACTTTTCTTACAATCAGGATACTGGACTTAAGTTGCACCAGTATAATATTTTAAAATTGTGGTATATGATTTATCAAGTGGTTGATGTTCAGGTCATCGACTTTTACTGTGTCTGGAAAGGAAGTTGGAAGTCTCTCTTTTTTTCCTCCTCCTCCTCTTCCTCCACCTCCTCCTTCCTCTCCTCCTCCTCCTCCTTCAATTAACAAATCTTCCCTGGTTTAGTTATGAGATTTGTAGAATCAAGAGATTATTTTGTGTGTAGTAACTGTGCAGTCACCTGGTAGAGTGATAGTGTAAACCTGATATCTGACTTTGGACCACAAAGGTGTGCATTGAAATTGATATCAATGAACTGATTGATTGACAGCCCTAGACTTCTCATCCTCAGTTATTCTGCCAATTTGTATGCATTCAATTTTCTATATTCAATTCTTACCTTCTTAAAAATCATATTTTGTATTTTATGCTGTAAACAGTTATATTCAATGAGTTTTTAAGCTCAGCAATATGACTTTATTTCTAGAGACTCTATTTTGTTCTTTTCAAATTTAGCCTTTTCCAAAATGATATATTCCTTTCTTAAGAAATTTTTTAATATATTTTTATCTTTAAGAGACATAATAATTTAAGAGACATATTTACATGGTACAATATGATGCTTCAATAGAGATATACAATATATAATGATCAAATTTGAGTAACTAGCTTATTTATCACTCAAACACTTATTATCTCTTTGTTATGAGAGCATTTGAAATCATTCCTTCTAGCTATTTTGAAATGTGCATTGTGTGGTTGTTAAACACAGTCACACTAGAACACAAGAATTTAACATGATTGTGTACGACTTTGTACCTATTATGAAACTTCTCCCCATTTCTCTCTCCCCCTGCCTTTCCAAGCATTTGCTATTGTTGCCATTTTATCTTTGAATTCTACTTTTTTTTTAGATTCGCAAATGAGTGAAAACATGCAGTATTTGTCTTTCTGTGCCCAGCTTATTTCACTTAACATAATGCCATCCAGATTCATTCATATTGTGGCAAATGATGTGGTTTCATTATTTTTTATGGTGGATAGTATTCTCTTGTATAAACATACCATATTTTATTTATCCATCCATTGATGAATACTTACATTGATTCTCTATCTTTATTGCCATGGACGATGCTGAGTATATATGAGAATGCAGATGTCTTTACATACTAATTTCCTTTCCTTTAGATATATATCCTGTAGCTGTATTATAGAATGATCAATTGAAGATCTTTCATACTATTTTCCATAATGGCTACACTAATTTACATTTCCTCCAACAATGTGTATGAGTTAGAAATGCTTTTTATATTAGCATACACAATCATTTTAAAAACAGCGTTCTCATCTGAAATGGTTTTGTTATTTTATAGGTAGCATGCTTTGTCATTACTGCTTTCTTCTTTTTGTTGTTTATCTTCTTTGGTGCATTGAGGTGGAAAGGACAGCAATGGAGCAGCAAAATTCTCTCTTAACTATGTAGTGCTCATGAATGTCATGACCCTGTGTTAAATGCCCAAATGTTGGCTCCTTTGTGATGTCACAACTGAGTTCTGCAGAACCTCTAGGGAGACTTTTCATTGCTCAGTTCCCCAAAGGTGGACCTATTCTATTTCAGTGTCTTCCACTTTCCTTTCACTTCTAGCCCTGCCTCTGTCACTGGAGGCCTATCCACTCAATGATACAAGGGGTGGTGCATTGGGAAGTGGGGGTACTGTTCAGCTCCCTCTTACTAAATGCCTCTGGTCTCTCACAATCATTATAACAGGGTGATTATTTTGTCCTCTGCTTTGCAACCTGTTCTACAGTTCCAGGACTACAGGAAAAGTCATGGTAATACCTCAACATCTTGCTTTTGAATATTGTTCTAATGTTTGAAAAAATCTTGACTGTCAGTTGAATGTTGTTTCTGAATCAGGATTCTCATGTAGCAGAGATCACGTGCACTTTTTTATTGTCTTGATTGGCTTCATCTTTACAAGTTTTGTTTTTCTTTTCCTCACATAAATCCTATAGGAATATTCACCCACAAAGGTTTTGCATACACTTTTGCAAAGTATTTCAAACCTGATGTTAATCTCTGTTATAATTTGGATCTCAAATGTCGCCTGTTGTTCCATGTGTTGAAGTCTTGTTTCCCAGCCTGTGACACTATTTGCAGGTGGTGGAACCATTAGGAAGTGGGGTCTGATGCAAGCAGGTTAGGTCAAGGGGGCATGACCTCTATTGGAACATTGGATCCTCAGCCTCTATCTTTGCTTCCTCTCTCCTCTGCCACATGCTGCTGTCTTTTCCATTTTTTGAGTTGATTATTTCAGTTTTTTTTTTTGTCACAGTATTGATAAGCTGACTAACACAGTTTCTCAACTTGGAATTTTACTTCACACTGAAAGCATAAATTTAGATTCTCCATTTGGCTCAAGCTCAACACTGTGATTTTCTCAAGGGAAATATGAGGAAGTTACATTTTTATTTGTTTTCACACAGAGTTTAAGCAAGCACATTTCCCCTTTTTAACTCCCATATTCATTCAGAGTTCAGAGGTCCCTTTTTTATCCACATCTCTCACCATTTTACTGCAAGGGTAGCCTTCCCCTCAGTCCTGAATTAATGTACAGCCTTGGGTTTCATTTCTAATTCTTGTTTCCAAGTATTCAGTTATATTTTTAAGCTGGCTATTTTGTGCTAAGTACAATTTTTTCTTATGATCCCAGAGTTCTGCTTTTTTGATCTCTTAGTAAATTTCCAGCCCTTGATTTGTGTACTCAGTGCTCTGTCCCAGCTCATATAGGCATTTCTTTACCTTCTCAGAACACTAGTCCCCAAATTTAAAATCTCAAATTTTAAATATGAGTTGTGAAGTAACATGGATATAGTTGACTGACTTTTGAACTCATCTGTGCCTTTAAAAATATTTTCTCTGATGAGAGTTTAATATCTACAGAAAAATTTCATGTTAACTTAGCTGCACTTTGGAAATTCTGGAACCACTATTTTCAGTAGTCATATTCCAACAAGCATATATGAAATGAATGATGGACATCCACTATAACAAATTCTTATTAATTTGGAGTTTATAATTTAAATATCAAGCATAAATGATTTTGGCTACTCTTCTATATGTGAATAAAGGATATATTCCTTGAATTAATAACATAAACAAAGCTATAAGAATATATTTAACTAGATGAAGAAAACAAGTGTTTTAGAATAATTTAGAAGGATCCATTTACATAAAAATAGTGGTATGCTAATTACTAATCATTCTTAGCTCTTCATTAGAGTCTATTTAAAATAATTGGGAATTAGGGGAATATTTTATTTTATACTAAATCTTGATTTTCACGTGATAATATTACAGATCTTTGAGAAATTATCTCACTCAAGCTTTTTGATGATTCTCTATTCTTTTCATCAATTAATCTAGATTCATAGGTAATTATTTTGAGAAAATAGCATGAAAAATCTACAATATAAGGAGAAAAAAATATAGGAAAGATTTTTTTCTTTGTCCTATGCTATAAAAGAGATTTTAAATCACAAGCCACATTCTCCTTGAGGTACCCTTCCTTCTCTTGATTGTGTCTATATCCTTCCCATCCTTTTCACCCCTTATCTTCCTAAATACAGTTGGGAATATTTCAAAAAGCCATTAACTAACTTTTTAAACTTTGATATTACATAATATTGATTGAGTTAAATAAGACTTATGCAGGCATTTCTATAGGCGTCCAGATCCCTGACCCCAGCACTAATTTGAAGTTCCTTATCATTGAAAGAGCCTGAGTATTGATATGGAAATAGGAATGCCAAGTTCTGATGTGCTTCTGCTTCCCGCAGTCATTCTTTAAAAAGACTGACCAGGGCTGCAGCTCTGCTTTGCAAGCAAAGATAAAGTTGGCCCAAGGTCAGCTTCCCAATATGGCCTCATTTGCACCTTGCAGACGGACAGGCTACTGGCTCATGGAGGAAGTGAATGTATTATTCGTCAAATAAAGACCATGACTCTCTCTGCCTCCTCCCACAGAGCAAGTATATGACTAGTATATCATTTCTTTTTTGTTGTGAAACTTTGTTAACATTACCAATGAGTTTTTAAATACTTCCATTTCGTGGCTGAGAAAGTAAGTTTTGATAAATTAGGTAATTCATTAATGTATGGCACTGAGATCACTAGCCTCCTGGGCTAATTAATGCTTAGTCTTATTACATTAACTCAATAAATATACTCAGCCACTTACTCTAGTCAAGATATGAAAATACGTGAACAGGTAGCTCTTGAGAATTAGTTAAATTCTAGCTATAAGGTATTACTTTAAAGAGTCAAAATAAAAACCTGGACATGTTATTATCTTTATGGCTAAACATGGATATGGAAGATTTGGGCAAAAGACAGGGGGGATGAGGCTAGAAATTTAGGAACTGGAATGTGGCATTAAGCAACCCACCAGCTATGTTGTCATTGACTAGAGTCATATATTAACATTGCTACAGAGTCCAAATGTTAGATTTATGTTGTTGGATACAGAAAAGATTCTTGATTCATCATTTCAAATCTATTTACTGTCATTGTACATGTAATTCTTTGCCATCATCATTTGGAATTTAAGCATTTTCTATTTACTAATTAATATAAATGCTACTATTGTTAGATACACACCAAGCAAAAATAAATGATTTCTAAAATCCTGAATCCTCTCCCCTTCACAAATGGACAAGAATTTTTGATTCATGGGAGTCGATAGAACTAATACATTTTATATAAACCTAATACAAGAAAAAAAAAAAGGTCAGTGCCAAACACACATGTAAACAGAAACCTATTTCAGGGAAATTCAGAAGCTGGTAAAGGATTAGCTAATTATACTAATGCCTACCCCAGTGTTCATAGAGAAGGAAAGACAAGATACTTCTTGTTTTGTTTTGTTTTGTTTTGTTACTTTCCAATCTTTTGCAATCAATATTTTTGTACAATATAATAAAAAGAAAATAGTAGAAAAATAAAAAGACATAAAAGTTCAGGACCAACATTTTTATTATTACATCCAATAGACATAAAATTACTCTGTCAAGTTGCTATAAAAAGTTCACAATGGTTACTCTTAATGCCTGCCCTTATCCCATTGCAGACAGATAACTCATGGTTTGCGAACTCATGGACCTCACTTGAGCATCACTAGTTTACAGTACCTGTCAAGAAGGAATAAAAACAAGAAGAAAACCCATTCACTTTCAGAGAGCTGCTAGTTCCAAGGATGAGGTGTTGCCAGGTAGAATAGCAGGTGAGTGACCTGGGGCTCAGTGCTGGGTGGGACTATTGAAGTCCAGCATTCTTTCCCTACCTCATGCCCACAGAGCTCTCCCAATGAAATAGCATTATGGTGACCTGGTACACCAAAGAAAATTTAAATTATAATCACTATACATTGTTTTAAAAAGCAAGGACACTGCTGATGCACACTGAGAAAGATTCCTTGCAAAACCATTAGCACATTTACTATCTAAATACATAACAGCTAGGCACAGGGAAAACACCAACCTTTCAGAATAACCCACATGACAAATAATTGAGATTTCACAGTTTGGGGGAGAAGGATTTGGTTTTAGTTGATAAGTCATCCATTTTTTTCTCACACATCTTAGGTATTTAATAAAACTTTCTAAAATTGATGAACGAAAACTTGAAGAAATTATGTCATCTTTAAATACCACTTAGAGCAGTCTCAAGTAGTTCAAAGACAGCTATTCTCTCTACAACCTTTGAGAGTCATGAATACACAAATTATCTAGAAGATGTCAAGGGAAAAATATCAAAATGGAGCAGCATTGGTTCAGGGTGCTTAAAATGGAGTAGGTCATTCTTAATCAGATGCCAGACACATATGAAACAGAACCATTAGACTGGACCAATTCGCAACTCACTAGCTTTCCTTAAGAATTTGTGAGCAGTCCTGCCCCTTGATTCTCTGAAATTACCTATGGATTGACATAGCACTCAATCTTTTTCTTATAAGACAGCTTAAAGCTTGTTAGTGCCAATCAGAATTGCTGACAAGCAAATGATTTAGCCTTCAATGTTCTTACAGTTTTAAACTTTAATTATGGCCACCATTTTGTAAAGGCTCAGAGAACATTTTCAAGACTGTTTGTCTTTGTGCTTTCCCTGATTGCAATTCTAATTAGCCCAAACAAATGTGATTTTCTTTCTTTTTGACTAGTTCAACTTTATTCTCAGTGAAGAAAACTACATTCTCAAAAAGCAAATGCTCAATACAATTAAAAATCTTTTGATTGAAAGTTATGGTAAATATGGCTCAAATTGAATTAAGAAAGAAAATATATTTGCTTGTGTTTTTAGGGGAAAAAGAAAAGGGTTAGCCTGGCATCTGGCATGGACTCATCAAGGAGTGGAAACCGTGAGGCCTGTGAGGAGTTATAGCAGACAGGTCCTCACCACACGGTCACATATGTGTCAGGACAGGACTTCGCATACTTCAGGTTAAGTTTAGCAAGATGGATCACCATTCAAATACCCATGCTATGGTTTCAGTGATTCTCCAACTGTGATTAGCTTTATGCCTATCAGTTAACTAATCATGTCCTGTAAAAAATAAAAACCATGATTTTTTTTTTTTTTTTTTTTTTTTTT